AAACACACACATTTGCTCTGTAATTACTTCTTTGTGGGCAAAATGCAACAGATTCTTATTAGTAACTAGCTGTACCCGGCCACGCGTTGCTGTGGCTCAGTCTGGTTAAATGGAAAAGAAAGAAAAGAGAAAGCGCACGTTTGTAATATGTTTAATTTCACAATGCTTGTGGGTATATAATATACGTCCAACAGATGGCGCTGTTTTTTTAAAAAAACATGTTTTTACCTGTCACAGGTGTGACATCTATATAATATAGGTATATAAAAACACGCGCGTATTCGAATGCAACGTCGTGTCAAAATTTCAAAGCAATCGGTGAAGAACTTTCGGAGATTTAAGATTTTGAACAAACGAACATTTACATTTTTATTTATATAGATTTGGGAGTTCGCCTCTTTGGGTCTTCTGTGTAAAGCGCTAGTTCAAAAGTTGCTTTATATTTCTACTTGGCTTAACAATCTCTTTCTGTTGAAGCACAATATGGCTGTCTTTTTATCATCATCATCATCATCATCATCATCATCATCATCATCATCATCATCATCAAGTTGGAAGGGATCTTGGAGGTCATCTAGTCCAACCCCTGCTCAGGCAGGAGACCCTATTCCATTTCAGACAAATGGCAAATTTCTTTTCTGAAAAGCCTGGCCTAAGCATCCCTATGACGTACGTTGGTATATCATAGGAAGTTGGGGAACATATCCTTAAGGGTGTGAGTGAGGAACCAAGCGTTAAACCTGTAAGATAAGAAAAGTTGAAAAAAATCTTGCTCTTTTGGGAAAAGAGGGGTTTTCTTTGCAGACAGCTGGAAATTCTCGAAGGAGTGAGGGTTTGTTTATTTAAAAGGGGATGCTTCAGTTTTTCACCAAGCCCACCGTGAAGAAGCCAACCACTGAGGTAGGAACGCTCACTGGAAAAAATTTCTTAGGTGTTTCCTGCTTGATGAATATCCCCTTTTCAAGATTATATGGCAGGGGCCCCTCTACAAGGCCTGGCTCTCTCCCTGTCTCCAAACATGCTACCAGCTATTTGTAGGTGGCTCAAATCAAAATATGCAGCTTGTGGGATATTCCCTCGCGGCTTTCTAGGACCAAGCAGGAACAGTCAACAAAAGCTTGGATCAGCAGCTCTGTGTGTCTCTGAGAACTTCATGTGTAAACACAGAACGGGGTAAGGAATTCCTACCCTGATGGGGCATGTAGGTGGAGTGGTCAAAATCCAAGCGTGGAGAACTGAAGTCTCCTTTTCCTTCATGGGCAGGACAGGAATCAGACATTCCACAGACACCCACCTATGCCTACTTTTAGGGCTGCTGGCAGTCAGCAAATAGGACAGTTGGCCTGCTTCTGGGTGTTTTTATTTTTCTTCCAGAAATGGTATCTAGGTGAGGATGGAGTCCACCTCTTAGTCGGTTCTGAACTGAGCTTGGTGTTTAAGGTGGGGACCATGAGCCATGCTTTCTCCAGCCTTTTAGGAATTGCCTACAGCTTCCATAATAATAATAATAATAATAATAATAATAATAATAATAATAATAATAATAATAATAACAACAACAACAGCAACAACAACAACAACAACAACAGCAACAACAACAACAACAACAACTCGATACGTAGACAAAATGCCAAATCCAGTCTGAACATCTGGCTGTCTGTGCAATGATCCATAATAATAATAATAATAATAATAATAATAATAATAATAATAATAATAATAATAACAACAACAACAACAACATCTGCCTATCCCAGGTCCTGGGTAAGGACTCAATAGGTAGACAAAATGCCAAATCCAGTCTGAACATCTGGCTGACTGTGCGATGATCCATAATAATAATAATAATAATAATAATAATAATAATAATAATAATAATAATAATGATAAAGTTGGAAGGGACCTTGGAGGTCATCTAGTCCAACCCCCTGCTCAGGCAGGAAGTCCTATACCATTTCAGACAAATGGCTGTCCAGTCTTCTTAAAAACTTCCAGTGTTGGAGCATTCACCGCTTCTGGAGGCAGGTTGTTCCATTGGTTAATTGTTCTAACTGTCAGGAAGTTTCTCCTTAGTTCTAGGTTGCTTCTCTCCTTGATTAGTTTCCATCCGTTGCTTCTTGTCCTGCCTTCAGGCGCTTTGGAGAATAGCTTGACTGCCTCTTCTTTGGGGCAGCCCCTGAGATATTGGAAGGCTGCTATCATGTCCCGCCTTGTCCTTCTCTTTATTAAACTAGACATACCCAATTCCAGCAACCGTTCCTTATAGGTTTTGGCCTCCAGTCCCCTGATCATCTTTGTTGCTCTTCTCTGCACTCTTTCTAGAGTCTCAACATCTTTTTTACATCCTGGTGACCAAAACTGGATGCAGGATTCCAAGTGTGGCCTTACCAAGGCATTGTAAAGTGGTATTAACACTTCACGTGATCTTGATTCTATCTTTTGATTCATCTTTTGACTGTTGTTGTTGTTCAGTCACTAAGTCTGGTCTGACTCTTTGGGACCTTATGGACCACAGCATACCAGCCCCCCCCACCCCCTGTCCTCCACTGTCTCCCAGAGTTTGCCCAAATTCACGTTCATTGCCTCAATGACACCATCTAACCATCTCCTTCTCTGCCGTCCCCTTCTCCTTTCGCCTTCCATCTTCCCCAAGATCGGGGTCTTCTCCAGTGATTCCTCTCTTCTCATTTGTGGGACAAAACATTTGAGCCTTTCAGCTCCAGGATCTGTCCTTCCAAAGAACAGCCAGGGTTGATTTCCTTTAGGATCGACTGATCGGATCTCCTTGCCGTCCTATTTTGGTGATCAGAGCAGATACATCAAGTTCTTCTGTCTAAGTTCTGATGCACTACAGCTAGTCCTTGACTTGCAACCGCGAACGAGCCGAAAATTTCCATTGCTAAGCAAGACACTTGCCAAGTGGCTTGTGCCCCATTTTACGACCTTGTTTTTGTCACTGTTGTCAAATGAATCACGCGGTTGTTAAGGGAACCTTAATTGACTTTGGTTGTCAGAAGCTGGCTAGGAATGGTGATCACATGACCCCTGGACAATGCCACTGTCACCAAGACATACCAGTTGGCAAGTGCCCAAATTTTGATCACATGACCATAGAGATGCTGTGACCGTCGTAAGTGTGAAAACTGGACATGTCACTTTTTTCTGTGCCGTTGTAACTTTGAATGATTGCTAAACTAATGCTTGTATGTAGACAACTATCTTTATTTGAGAATGCATCTCATGCAATGTCAGGGCACCAGCTATATGGGTAGTCTTTGACTTATAACTGTAATGGAGCCTTCTCATCACGTTGTAAGCCATGGCAGTCATAAACTGGGTCATCATGTAACCGATCCTCTTTTACAAACTTTTTTGGGGGGTGGTTGTTCTCTCTTGAGTATTTTTGCCAAAATCTGGAAGTAAATGCTGTTAGTGTGTTTGTGACTGTGGGACGCTCTAAATGGCCGTAAATGTGGACCAATTGCCAAAGGCCCAAAAATGCAATCATGTGACTCCAGGGTGTGGTTTTTCTATTTATAGCAGAACTCCTAGATTCTGCAACAGCCTGGTAAATTCACCGGATTCTTCTTCTTCTTTTTTTTGCCATGTGTACGCATACACTCGAACGAGACTGTGATGTTTCTCTGCATCATATATGTGAGTGTATGTGGGTATTTGCATAATGGTATTTTTTTTTTGAGAGCTGAATGCAACAAAATTTCATTTTTAATGTATGCTGATTAGTGTGCATTTAAAGTAACAATAAAGTTTTTGTTCTGTCCTGTCCTGTCCTGTCTCTGTCCCTATCTCTGTCCCTATCTCTGTCCCTGTCCTATCCTGTCCCTGTCCCTGTCCTGTCCGTGTCCGTATCCCTGACCCTGATTCTGTCCTTGTCCCTATCCCTATCTCTGTCCCTGTCCCTGTCCTGTCCGTGTCTGTGTGTGTGTTCGTGTCCCTGTCCCTGTCCCTATCCCCAGCTCTGAAAAAAAGTGACTTATGACCATTTTTCATCCTTACGACCGTTGCAACATCCCGAGGGCCATGTGATCAAAATTCAGACGCTTGGCAACTGACTCATATTTACAACGGTCACAGTGTCCTGGGGTCACGTGATCTCCTTTTGTGACCTCCTGACAAGCAAAGTCAATGGGGAAACTGGGTTCATTCAACAACTGTGTTACTAAATTAACAACTGCCGTGATTCACTTAACAACGGGTGGCAAGAAAGGTCGTAAAATGAGGCAAAACTCTCTTAACAACTGCCTCGCTTAGCCACAGAAATTTGGGACCTAAGTTGAGGACTACCTGTACCTTCAAAAGTGTAAACACTTTTCCAGCTTAATAGGGAGGTGGCAGATAAAAAGAGCAGGTGAGGGTGATTTAATGCATCTGTTCTCCCAGGGAGAATGTTTGCAGATCTGTCACTTCTGCCTGATTTACGCAGCTCGGTAAACACCAAGTTTTCATTCGACCCACTGCAGATCCATCTCAAAATAAATGAAATGCTGCTCTTGGAGGGGGTGTGTGTGGGTTTCTAATGGAGCTGCTATTAGTTTAGGGTTAATTATTAACACTCATAGAGCCAGTTTGGTGTAGCAGAAAAAGCATCAGCCTTGAAACTGGAAGACGGTGAGTACTAGTCCCACCTTGGTTACATAAATAAGATCAAATAAATTAAAGCAAAACAAAATAATCTCCATCACATCTTTTAGGGGAAGCATGTTATATATATATATAAATTTGTGCTGTCACTAAACAAACGGTTGTAAGTCGAGGACTGCTGTAGGGGAGGCACAGCTGGCAATTTGTGATATTTGAGGATAAATAGTTGGAGCCCTTCCTGATCTGAGAATAAAACAAAAGGGGGGAAGGGGGGGGAGAAAATTAAGCTTTATGCCAAATGTAATCTTAACATTCTTGTCTCTGTTGGAAACCAACAGAGTCTAACGTGAGCCTAAAACCTTAAGAGGGTCTAAGAATTGTTCTTAAATGCCTTTCAGTGTGCGATGAACATTTGGACTACAAAGATGCTAAGCTACTCTATCGCTTCCGCAAGGATGATGGGACCTTCCCGCTCAACAAGGAAGTCAAGGTGTTCCTGAGAGGACAAAGCATCTACGAGACGTACGTGAGCCCTCAGTCTTCCCGGTCTTCGGAGGATTCGGTGGAAACCCATTCACCACATTTCTCCGGGCTTTAATTTTGGGAGGATTTGGGAAAAGGAGATGAATGGGAATTCCTTCCTCCCATTTCCTTCCTTCCTTTTTTATTTCCTTTTTTCTGCTCTCCCTCCCCTTCGTTCGTTCCTTCCTTCCTCCCTTCCTCTCTCCCTCCCTCCCACCATTTCCTTCCTTCCTTCCTTCCTTCCTTTTTCTTTCTTTCTTTCTTTCTTTCTTTCTTTCTTTCTTTCTTTCTCTTTCCTCCTTCCTTCCTCCCTTCCTCCCTCCCTCCCACCATTTCCTTCCTTCCTTTCCTTCCTTCCTTCCTTCCTTCCTTCCTTCCTTCCTTCCTTCTT